CTCATAAGGCGGCACGCCTGCGCGCCGCTGGAGGAACACACAGAGAACAATCAATACGATCAATTTCTTCCATCAATTATCACAGTCTTTTATCATAGTGATCCAAATCAATCCTTGATCAGAAAAACCCCTCACAGTCTGACAGCCTATGACCACCCTTTCTGCCTCTATAGCAAGCTGCTAAGCCTGTCGCACTTAGAGAGCTCTACTAGAAGCAATATATTAACGCCGCTAGTCTTACTTTTAGCGTTAACGCTAGTTAGCTATACGTAGCTTCTTATTCTCCTCTGTAAGTATTGTTGCGGATTATATTATAAGCTAGGCACTCTTCGCGAGCTGGCGTATAGCAACACTTGTTGGACTGTCTAACTGCTAGCGTTGCTGGCGTAGCCGCTCTTGGAGATAGAGTACCTACTGCCGAAGCTGCTCTACTATATACGGCGTTTCTGTCTGCGTGATAGCGTTATTGCTTATAGCTATCTATAGTGGAGAAGGCGTCTAGACGACTATCAGCGACGATAAGACACGATCTAGATAGAGAGGAATAAGGCCTATTACTTAAAAGCCTGCCTGGATATTCTGCTGCGTGAATACTGTCTACCGTATCTACGTATAGACTATAAGGAAGTCTATCTTATTAATATAGTAGACGCCTTAACGGGTGAGCTCCTCAATCTCACGCCCGTACGCGCGCTTAAGTGGCGAGAAGTAGCTTACGTTAAGAGGCTAGAGGAGATGCGACGTATAAGGCGGCATACAGAGAGTGATAATCTTATTCTCGGCGTAGTACTGATCGAACTCTGGTGTAGCGTGGCTACTATGGCCGTCTAGAATAAGAAGCCGATAGACTCTAGCTGTACGAGCGGCTATATGCTAGTTAAAGTGCTTTACCTACTCTACACTAAGCTCGTCTGTCGTCTAGCCGTTGGCTGATACGCTAATAGTCCAGTTAAGTAGGAGCTTGTCGTACCAGCCAGCCTAGTGGACTTTACTAGATAGTATCATGAACGGTGGAAGACACCAGCCAGACGCGTTGACGCACTCGATAGCTGTTACCCACTCGCGATTACCTGGCTGGACGACGACTGCTCTACCCACTCTGTCAGCGCTAGTAACTACTTTTAACTTCCCAGCGACACCTATCGCGAACCTAGTCTCGTCAAAGTTGTAGATATCTCGATCTAGAACGCCGTACGTCTGGCGCGTCTCCTCTACTAGCTTAAACTAGGCTACAATTACGATAGAATCCTCGCAGGAGGCGCGCTAACTATACAATCTTCTAGTCCACTTTGTCTAAAGCTCTAGCTGGCCTTAGATAAAGCACGATGTTACAAGTAACAAGAAGGATTCTCTCCTTGACGCAGGGTGACGAGGTTGAAGACCAACCACGTCCACGTCAGAAGGTAATGACATCGCGGG